TGTTACATTAACATTATCTAAATTGGTGTTTTGATACCAATGTCGATAAATAACATTATTCATCCATGTATGTTTATTTTCCCTCACCTTCATTTCTTTTCGAATACTTCATGCTTTCGACTTGTAGTTTTCATAAAGGAATATATATCTTATCTCCATTTATATGAAAGATATTTAGTATTTACATTGCTTAGAGGGATCGTCTAATAAAGTGTATGTAGGATGCACACTTTGTATCTGAAGAGGGTATTCCTCACTTCAATAGGTTTAGGAAACTTTGGCAGTGGACTCATTACGATAGCTAGGTTGGGTGTGATTCTCTATCGGATGCTTATTCTAACTTGGATAGACTCAATGATTGAAAAGCTAAAACCTTGGGAAATGATTTATAAAATTAAGTGGGAATTGATTTATAAAATTAAGCACGCTCTTAAAGACTAACGTCCAAGACATGCTAAACGTGCAAGCATGAGTTTTGTAAACTGCATATTTTACTAGTAAACCCACTACTTATATAGTAAGTTTATAATCTCAAAGATGTAGTAGGTGGATTGTCAGTAGAAATGCCAAAAACATGGAAAGGACAAGGTCAGAAAGGTCAATTAACATAGGGATTGGGGATGTTTGATCATATTTTAAGGGACTTTGCTATTTGTCCGGATGACACTCCCCTCACAAGAAGGGGATTCACAATTATTTTATTACTTGTGGACCTCTCTTTTGTGAAGGGAGTGTCATCCGAGGTGTCAACCTCGAATGTACAAATAATTTTATTGTATTATAAGGACATGGGTGCTTCAAATCAAATAATTGTGCATCTACCCTATAAAATTAACAAAGGGTGTTCAAATTAATAGAAATCTATTAATCAAGAAATAGACGGTTAAACTTGTGAGTCAATAATGCTATTCTATTGATCGAGTGGTATACCGTTGCATTCAATTGTAAAATTGGGATGTATTTTAATTCGTTGAGAATGTGATAGTGACTCCACTGTCATATTATATACTCTTCATCAAATTGCTAATGAATAGCACTATTCATACATTGTATGTATGTGAACCGTACACTTTACGTATACGTAAATTAAAAAGGTGGGACCAGTTGATAACCAATAAAAATGAAATACATTTAGCACTGTTTGATACGAATTAGAATTCAAATTTCAATTTAAGTCAAAATTAACAATTAATTTTAATCACATATTTTATGAGTTCTATAACATTTCAATCATATATTTCATCAAATTTTATTAAAAATCTATTAAAAATCTGATTTTAATCTCCACCAAACAAGAGTTTAATTCATTAAGGAAGTGTATTTAATTGAAACTTTTATAAACGTTTAGTGATTTAAAGAGTTTAGGAATATTCGATGTGGGATTTTTAAGACTCTCTAAATGCCTTGATGTATTCAATAGAGACTTTTATAAACCTTTAAAAAGTCTTTAATTTTTTTTTATATATTCAATTAAAACTTTTTTAAATTCTCTAAAAGTCTTATAGTATTCAAAATGTTAATGACTTTCAAAAACTTTTATAAATGTTTCCAAGGTACTAATTTTAATGCAGAAAGTACAAAAACAAATTTCAAAATAAATCTTTCATTCATCCAAAGATTTTGGGAGACTTTGACAAAATAATTTTTTAATACATTTTCTATCCTTTAAATGTTTTATTTCTTCTTCCATTATACGAATTTTACAGTTATGATTAAAAGAATTTTTTTTTCTGCTCATTATATTTGTTCTCTTATCATTCTCTCTTTTCTATTGTTTCTCGTCATTCTCTCAAAAAAATAAATAAATAAATAAAATATTTTCTAACAATTTTTTCATCCAATTTTTTAATGATAAAGATCAATTTTGTAATAAAAATTCTATTAAAAAAAAAGACTAATTTGTAATTAAATTTTAAATATATTACTTGAAATATTATATAATTTTTTTATATTTTAATTATTTGTTTAATTAATTAATGTGACTTATTTTTTTATTAGATGGGTGAACGGGATGGAGATCGATCCTCGACCTTTTATGTAGGAATCCAAATTATTTTTATTATAAATGAAAGTTTTCAAAAATCATATGAATTCTACAAAAGTCTACAAAAGTTTAAAATGAAAGTGTATGAAAATTTCACTAATTCCATACAAATCTAAAAAGTCCACGAAATTCACACTAGTCGACACTTAAAAAAGTCTATAAAAGTCTCAATTAAATACACTTTCTAAGAATGTGGTAGTAACTTCACTATCACATTAGATGCGATACTGATCATCAACATTGTTGATGAACAACATTATTCATACGTATTTGAACCGTACACTTTACGTATTGGTGAAATTAAAAAGGTGGGACCAAGTTGATTGACAATAGAAATGGAGGGATGGGGGTTGGGGACAGCATGCTTGGTGAGGTGTATGGGGAAAGGAATGGGGGCATGAAACAAAAACAAAATGTTTCCTATGTATAGAACAAGGCTGTCTTATGGTCATAGCCGGCCATTACCCACATGTTTATTCAATCATCAATTTATTTGCACAGTGCTCCATATCATGGTAAAAACCATATGGAAATGTAAATTAATTAATTTCACCCATAAACTTGCCCATACAATCTGTCTGTACGTATATAATGTTTATTTTTTAACAAGCGTGCTAGTGTGTAACACTGTCAATATATTTTTAAGGTTTTAGCAGATGAAAAGGTTCTAATCTTTTGAGCCTGCAGCCCATGAAAGGAATTAATATTAGGAGTTAGGACAATCCCAACCAGATTGGAATTAAATAATAATAATAATAATAATAATTTTTGCCGTTCTGTATTAACTAATGTAAACAAACTAGGTCACGAGTTTTGTTGAAAAATTTCCTATCGACCAAATATGAAATGCCAGTTTTCATAGAGTGTCAGGGCTTTCGAATAAAGAGAATTTCAAGTTAATAATTCGACCGGTCTAAAGATTAATCAAGTAGATACATTTTAGAATTAAAGTTTTCAAACGAAACCATCTTGAGGGGTATGCTAAAGGAGAAATCCGACTTAAGGATTTGACCTACCTACCTTCCTTAAAAAAAAAACTAACATAAAATACTTGATCAAGACTCGGTGCTCGTGGCTTCTAGGATAAGAGAAAAAAATGTTTGTGTTTTATTTTCGTTATTTTTGTACTTACTAAAATGTTGAGGACAAATTCGTCTTTCCAGTCAATTTAACAGTTTTTGTATGGAACATAAAGTGGAATTATCTGTATCTAAAAAGAAAATTTCAAGAATTAAATTTTCGAAACATCAAGATTTAAGTTTAAAAATATAAATAAGAATAAAACTTAAACACGACACATACAACTTAGTCTTGTTTGACAATGCTTTTAAGTGATTATCAACTGTGAATCTTACGAAATTTATAAATAATAAATTGTGAATTTTAGTAAGCCTATGTTTGTCTTCTACTAAAAATAATTTTTTGGGAAAAATGGATTTTGCAATATTGATTTGTTGAGAATGTTTAGTTAAAAAGTTAGAAAAAAAAATTGAATTCAAGTGTAAAACATTTTATTGTGTGAATGTATAGTTAAAAATGAGTTTGAGGGAAAAAAAAAAAAAAAAAAGGAGTTTTAATTTAATAGAAGGCAAACAATGGCTAAATGTGTGAACAAAATAGTATATTTAATTTAAATTATAATTTAAACTATGTGACTTGCTTATCAAGAAATATAATGCATACTAATGGTGGTATTTGTTTATTCCTATGTATTGATGGACACATCGACACGTGTCCATGTAAATATCATTTTAGGAATACTCTTGCATTTACTAGGGCCGCCGCATCAACACTAATGAGTACGAGTGAAATTGGCTCGTTAAGGGAAGGTTAGTCGCTGTTTGGTTTGGGTTGAATAGGTTAAAATAAAGTAGTAATTAATTTTAATTATATACTTCATTCATTCAAAATTTTTATTAATTTTTTAACCATATGTTGAGAACTAGAAATCATAAACAGTAATAAAATTGTAATAAGGAAATAGACATACAAAAATATGTAAGATTTATAGAAGATCATTTCATTGTAGGACTACATTCTCGTCTATCATCGTACTAATTCATTATGATGAAAATAAAATTTACAATAGAAAAATCGTGCACCATATATTCTCAACTTCTCTATCTTTTTATTAAAAAAAATTTAAAAATTAAAAGTGTGAAATTTTAAATTATTCTTAATGAATTTTTGTCCAGGGGCTTCGGGTGACTTCCTGCCTCTTTTTCAATCCCATGGGCGACCTTATTGTGAATGTCGATCTATGTACCGATTTCTTGCAACGATAATAGTTAGATTTCACAACTTAATAAAATACATTTAACCGCCTACTTTCAAATTTTTTAAAAATTTGATTTTTAGTAAAATCAAACTGGGATTTAATCTTATTTGATTCAAGTGGAAACAATTCAATTACTACTTTTTTTTTTCTATGATTATCTTAAGCCTTTGTTTAGGCTCCATTAATTTTAAAATACATTTTTTTCAGAACTTATTTTTGGAATTAAGTGAAATTTACTAGTATTTATTTGAAATTTCATCGATTGCTCTTTGGAATCACCTTTTAGATAGCAATAGAGTATCATTCGTCACCACATCCCCTTTGTTCAACAACCGAGCAAATTAATTGAACTGTACAGTTTACGAATAAAAATAAAATTTTATGTGTAGTTATTGAAAAAAACTTAAGAGCTTAATACGAAATTTGTGAGGTCAAGAAAGTTACTAGTTTCGTCAGACATTCCATATTTGCAGTCTTTCAAACAAAAATTCAAACCAATATATACAAAAGAATAAAGAAATGATATTAATTACTAAAAAAATAAAATATAAAATAAAGGACAAAAAGGTAAATACAGTAAGTTGGTCGGCACGTGCCAGTGAACGTGTAGCTATAGTTTTTCCACGTGCGACAGCCCTTATAAATACAACCCATTGTCATCGGTGAAGGACCAAAGGCAAAGGTGGTCAAGAAAAGTGTCTGACATTTGATCATTGTATATTCTGTCTCATATACGTATTATATATCTCTCTCTATACGTATATAATACGTATTATATCTATATCTATAGTCTCTCTATATATTGGCTAGAGTGTGTTTCCTGGGGACCTATTAGAACCCAGATTCTTCTTTTCGTAACAAACATTAAGAGATGGAGACAAATATGTGAAGTCTAGAGTGAGAAATAGAGGAAGAAACAAAAGAAATGGAGAGAGAGAGTGACGTTAAGGTATCAAAATTCAAGCGGATTTGTGTGTTTTGTGGGAGTAGCCAAGGCAAGAAGAGTAGTTACCAAGAAGCTGCTATTGAGCTTGGCAAAGAATTGGTACTTATTTGTTTGTGTTTTCCTGGTTTTGTTGTTTGTTTTGTAAATGTTGTGTTTGTTTTCACTTGGGATTTTGAAGAATGATTGATTTACAACATGGGTCTTTGTCGAAACCTTGTATTTACATCTCAAAAGTGTCCTTTTCTGCCTAAAGTTTTCTGCTTTTCCTCTGTTTTCACATAAGTTCATGGTGTTGGAGGATGTTTAGCCATGCTTAAATGCCTCGTTTTTAGCAGCTTTTTTTGACAGCATGGCTAAAAAAGTTATTAGCTCAATGTTTAAAGATTTGCAGAGGGGGTTAAATATGAAGTCTCCATCTGGGTTTGAGTCTTGGAACTTTGTTCTTACATATTCTTTTGTGTTTTTTAAGGTTTCTAGGAACATTGATTTGGTCTATGGAGGAGGTAGCATAGGGCTTATGGGTTTAGTTTCTCAAGCGGTTCATGATGGTGGTCGGCATGTTATTGGGTGAGTATCATTTTTCTTGTATTCTAATTCTAATCCTTTCAGTTTTGGGGTCTGTTTTTATTGTTAATTTAGTTTAGTTCTTCACAAAAAACTAACTTTTTGTCATGTTATTGTCTCCTCTACAGGGTTATTCCCAAGACACTCATGCCTCGAGAGGTATGGCTGCCATGGTTAAAAAAGTCTTAAGCCTTTTCAATTAAATTACTAATCTTTTTACTGCAACTTTTTTTCATTCTCATTTTCTTGGTTTAATCTATTATTACTTTAGTTTCTTCTTAAGGTATATTCTTGGTTGTCTGCTCCTTTTCCCTTCTTTGAACCCTTTTTTCTTTCTAATTTTCTTTTGTTCCTTTTATTTTCTCTGAATTCTTGATCATAAAGTAGCTCTACAAGAGTTAAGCTTTTGATTTTTTGGCTTCCTGAGGTCCTTGTGTTCTCGTAAACCTTATCCATTGGGTAGAGCACTTAAGTGGCAGTTTTTTCACTACAAGTTATGTATTTTTTCCTTTTTTAGAGTCAAAATATTTCTTTGATTTTTCCATTTCTGTTTCAGCCCTTCAATATTTTCTTCCTGACCTTTTCTTTGATTCAAAATTTTTTTACTTTACACATTTTCAGATCTGGTAGTATGTTTACCTCAGGCTCTGGAGATACTAAATTTAAAGACTTTTGGTTTCAAGTCCATAATTTTTCCAACCCTCATCATTGCAGCACTGCACTGCACACAACTCAATGCAATTAAACTATCCCTCTCTTCCAACCCACTCTACCCCATCCACCAAAAGAAAGTTCAGCTTTATCCACATTTTTGCTTAATGGATATACCCTTTTGCAGTTAACTGGTGTAACTGTAGGAGAAGTGAAGGCAGTTGCAGATATGCACCAAAGGAAAGCTGAAATGGCTAGGCATTCTGATGCTTTTATTGCCTTACCAGGTTGGTTAAGTGCCCTGCTTTACTTTTGCCCCAATGTTAAAAGTCACACGTCATTGAACTTCGATTGAAAAAATATTATGTTCATAGAGCTGAAAAAATATTGCTCAAGCTAAATGCTTATAGTTCTCATCTTTCAACATCTTGCACTGAAGCTTATGGCCAGAGAGTTCTCAGAAAACCTGCAATGTGAATGATTCATTTCCTTAAATGCATTAATATCTTCTGATGGTACTGCATCAATCTACCTTACCATAAATGGTGATAAGGAGAACTGTAGTCATAATTTTACCGAATTGTTTATTCCCAACTTGCAGTTGTACCTACCAAAACATAATGCTCACTCCTTTCAAGGCACAATTTTTTAATGTGGTTGCATCTCATATTCATAGTACACTATAGTTTTATAAGAGAGATCATAACCAAAAGCCTTGCAGAGGATCATGCCTCTGAGAGAAGTGAGCACACCAATTTGGGCAAATGTAAAAAGTCTGGGGCCAGCTGGTTTCCACATTAGTAACAAGATGTTTGTCTAGCTAAGGTGAGATAGGATGTCGTTATTCTTTGAGGAAATTACACCATTTGTTCCCAACATATTGTTCGAATAGTAAGTTGGTCAGAGCTTGTCCTTCCAAAAAATGGTCATTTATGTTCGATTACATTGCGCAAGTAGTCTCTGGTGACAAAAACCATACAAATCTCCACTAATTATCATGTGAGAGGCATATGTCTACAATGATGTGCTGGTGGTGGGGTGGCAGGGTGCTGCAGTTGGGTGAGTGGAGCGTGCTGCAACTTTCCCGCAATTTTCTGCAATTCACCATTTTTTTTTATTTTTTATTTTTTGTGCTAGTAGAAATCACTTTAGCTGATAATTTTGTTAACTTGAAAAAGAGGGCGATTCTTTCTAATATCCTTAGCAGTTAACACAGCCCTCAATTAATCGAGAAGTTGATTCTGTTTCCTTGTTTTTAAGTTTTTTAATGTGCGCATTGGAGTAGAATTATTTGTTATAACTGTAAAGTATCTCAAGTACTATTTATGAGTAATCATGAAAATGCATGCAGGTGGTTATGGAACTCTAGAGGAATTACTTGAAGTGATAACCTGGGCTCAACTTGGTATTCATGATAAGCCGGTATTTCTTAATATGCAACTTTTAAATCTTCCAACTCGTCTAAAGAATCTGTCCTATAGCAATTTCCATAACTAAAATGAAACAGCTAAAAGTGCAACTTTTGCGCAAGAAATTGAAAAAAAGAATTACTTATTTCGCAGGTAGGCTTGCTGAATGTGGATGGATACTATAATTCATTACTGTCGTTCATTGACAAAGCTGTTGAGGAAGGCTTCATTAGTCCAAATGCTCGACACATAATTGTATCTGCACCAACAGCAAAGGAGTTGGTCAAGAAATTGGAGGTAATTTTATTGAAGGAATACTTTCCCCTATCTGGATAAATGCTGAACATAGCACAACCATCAGCATGTAGCCTAAGAGAAAAATTCTTTCCTCCGAAAATTGCCTTTGTTGATCAGTAAATGTTGATGGTGAAGTAAATATTACAGTTACATGAACAGGTCGCAATTTAATAACTCATACAAGCTAAACGACTAGCAGTTGAAGATAAAATATAAAAAAAAGGCTATGAAAAATAAATTTTAGCTCTCATTATCATGTTTAGACTGCTGATCAGTTGAACGAGGGAAAAATTGTGTTGAACAGAAACAAAATGTTCCAATTTTTAGAAAATGGACAGAAAATTCAAGCCTAATTGTTGAAACGTTTATACTTTTTAGGAGTACGTTCCTAGCCACGAAAGAGTTGCAACAAAACAGAACTGGGAGACGGAGCAGCTTGGCTACCCCCAAAAGTTTGATATAACCATGTGAAAATGGATTTTGCACCACTGAAGAGATCATTAAACTATAAGGAAATATGGCATTGGAAGAAGCTAACTTTGAACTTCTAAATTTTTGGTGTGGGGAAGTCTTTTTGTAAATTTCTCTGGGAATTACCTCACTATGTGATAGCTACTTATTTTCCTTCACGTAAAAAAATTGTTTCTTCTGTAAGTTGTAACTACTAAATGGATTATGTAATTCTCCAACTAATGGCAACTTACTGTTTTGTCATGTCCTGCGTTGATATTCTTAGTCACAATATTATACTGTTATGTGTTGAACATCGTCTAAAAGGTCGTCACAACAAGCAAATATAACAAGCTCAACTGCCGTTACTACTCATTTACAATATTTTTGGCTCCGGTAGGGTAGCTTGAGACATGGTCATTCAGTAAAATATCCCGATTTCCTAGTTTAAGATTGTACAAGCGAGGTAGGTAATAATGATGGACCCCTGGCAGTGCAGGTTGGTATAATGGTAGGCTCATCAAAAATGAGAAACCTGCACCTTAGACAGATCAATGGATCAAGTGTCCACAATGAAAGAGGGACCATTAATCCAACAGACAACATTAATCCAACCAAAGACAGGTTACCAATGGGGGCCATTCTGGAGCAAATCATGGTAGAAAGACAAACACCAATTGATAATTCTTGGCCAAATTTGAATTAATAATTGTTTACTCCACCCTTTTTCACATATTTCATAATACAAGGCCTTGAGACCATTGATCCTGATATATACGATCTATATAAAGCCTAGATTTGTACGATCAGGACCCATCAAGAAGAAAAGTTTACTCCGGCTCTTGCAAGAAATGCAACGTGTGAACAAAATTTGACGTTTTGTGGCTTGCAGCAGAAAAGAAGACAGAATGATATCCAGCCATAGTACTGGCTTCCATTTCACCTTTTAAATATGTGACATAGAAATGTGTGTGGAGGTTATGTGCTCATCAGGTCAGAAAAAGTAATGCTATGTAGCCCCACCAGGTTATAAATCCAGTTTAGGTGACGCTAGATGATATATTGAATGAAAGGTAAAATTAAATAACGCATTTAATTTCATATATCATTTAATGCCACATTAGCGCCATCTAAACTAGGGTGGGCTAAATAGCATTACTCGGTCAGAAAAATAACTGAAGAATCTTTTGTTTGTTGAGGAGTCTAATCGGTTTGGCTTTTGAATCTGAAAACGATTGAGGAAAATGCTATGGAATGATGTTGACAGATGGGAGGGCAGACACTCATTGTTACGCCTCTTACTTTTTTCAATGATAAAGTGTTTTCTAGTGACGAAGAAAGTAATGAATAACTTTAACGACCTTGAAGTATACTTGTAGTATCGAGATTGGATAGCATGTTGTGTGTGTATGTTTGACCCTTGCTTGCATATACTGATATACGATTCCAACAACTAAAATCTGGTGGCAGTCTTCGAGTTTCTCTGATACGAGCATATCCAAGACATTTTACACGAAAGATAAGACTTACCAAACAAAAATTTGGATGCAAAATTATTTTTCACTAGGCATATTTGAGGTTTTCATTATTAAATTGCTCTTTGCCCCCAAGAAAGACTTTCTGCTGGTGAAATCATGTTACTTTGAGGGTGAAAAGGATTACTTTGCTGATGTTTATAGCCTGAAAAAAGATTCATGGAGAAAAATTCTAGTGATGCATAGTGATAAGACTATAGTTTTACATACAGTAGTTATCAGTGGCATTACGTGTTTGATTTTATCAATAACAAAACCGATTTTCTGTAGTAGTGGTTATGTCAACCAAGCAATACAGATTCCAGAGAAGAGCACATTTCAAAAGCGGACAGCCACAAAATGCAGAATTCTTCAAGTTAAAAGAAAATGATCGTGTCTATCATCAATTACCATCTAAACCACCAAGAAATTGGACCATCATTGGACTGAAAAACGAGAACACGTGGCCCAAATATGAATCGGCTAAATGAAAGCATACCTTTCTAAAACTAACAACCCAAGTCACCATTTTCATGATTTTGGAGTCCATTGGCAAATGTTGGTTGTGTCTTTGTATCGCTTTGCTGTCATGACTTAGCATTGACGTAGCGTGGTTTTCTTCTCCAGAATATATTCCAACTTCTCTTTGTCTTAACCTGTTTCTGGAACTCCTTTTTCATGTTTTGACACTCCTTCTCAAGATCAGAGACTCGTTCCCTCATATCCTCTATGCAATCATTCTTCGAGAGTCCAAGGACTGAATTGGGATTCTGAGAGTTCTCGAGATTGTCGGAAACAAAGAACCAACCAGAAATGGATGTCCACAGCCTCAGCTGTTCGAAAAATAAGACTTGAACAATCACTCTGAGGGGCAGTCTCTCATTTTGGGCAGCATGAGTACTTCCCTCCAATGAGAGCTTTTGGCAGTTCATGAGCCTACATATTTGCTTCCGCTCAGAGTTTGTGAGCCAAGGATGTGCCTGCTATTATGATACTCTTTAGCTATTTATTTATCAAGCAGAAACTGGAAATGCGTTGTAACTGGAAGCTGAAGCATATTGCAAGGATAGAGAGATTCATAGCTGTAATATTATGAACCTTATGAATAAAGTTGAGATACTAATTACCACAGTGAAATTTTACCTTCAAATATATATCAATTGCACGATAAATGCCATCAGAAAGTGGCCTTGCGTAATCAGGAACTGCAGCAGCTAGAGACTGGAATTTAGGGAACTTCAAATTAACGTCTGCTCCCACATCAGAAAGATATGCATCGACCAGATTTGCCACCACAGTCATTGACGTCAACGAAAGAGTCCCTTCTATTAGTTGACTTTCTTCAACTACACGCGGAGAAGCAGCAGCTGAAGGTTGCTCTATTGACATGAAATGGTCTAGAATCCTCTGAAAACAGTCTATGTCATATAAGGTTTCCACGGAATATCCCATGTTCGGTATTAGTAGATCTTCCAAAGCTGCTAAGTCTAACTGCATCCCAATCCTTCTCTCCAAATTTTCCCTGCATGATGGACTCGACTGCAGAACCATAGCAGTCTTGAGCAACCTAAGTAGGAACCTAGTATGTATTACTCCTTTCTGCTTTGGAAGAATCTCGACTATCTCTTCAAGAAGCGCCCTCTGGTCCGCCTCGGATGGGATTGAAATTGTTGAACCTGAATTTAAGTTCTTGAAGCTCGACTGTCTATTCATCTGGGGAATGTATTTTTTAGCGTAGAACACGAGAGCTCCAGCAATATTCTCCAGCGTCATTCCTCCCTCTTCAACAGCTTGGATCAACCGTTTATACAGAGGTAAACTGAGGAAGGAAACATCCTCAAACCACCAATTATCACTTAAAGGCTGTTGTTTCACTGAAGTACATATACCATTCCATAGGGAAGCACCCAATATCTGCCCCATCTCCTTACACCCGGACACAGGCCAATTGAATAATTTTGGATCAGCACAAGCTTTCGTTGCCAAGGAGTGAATGCATCTTGAGACAATATGGAGCTCCTCGGCATGTGGAAGAACTTCTTCACAGGTTTCAAGAGCTTTTACTGTGTCCGTCCAATTGCTAAATACCTCATTGAGTAAAGCTTCTGTTTGTGCAATGAGATTTCCCTCCCCATACTCTTCCTTCATTTGAAGGTACTCAGCCCCACATCTAAGACTAACGACATTCATAGAAGTGAGTTCTATTTTAACGCCATAACAGAATTTGGCAACTAACTCAAAAGTTTTAGTTCCACCAGGTAACTGATCGAGTTGTAATTCACATACAGATCCATCAATACTGTGAGATTCACCAATTAGTTTCTCAAGAAGCCCACTTCTTGAAAGCAAAGGAAACTGCAATTTGCAATAAGCTTATTAGAATTTGGATTATGCAAAATGATCACATTTCACAGTGCCATTGGCATAATACTAACTCATGAAGCAACTAAAATACGAATTAAGGCATGAAAAGCTCAAGTATGCGCACCTTGTGAAGATGAAAGGACATTTCTCCGATTTCAATTGTGACATCACTCTGGAGGCCAGATGTGCAATGCCTGCAAAGATCACACAAGAATCTTGACGGAACGAAGTGAAATGGCTGCATGAATGCAGCCAAATGATTTCAAGACAGAAATGAATCACAGGTTCAATATTATAGCAGAAACATACTACGCAATTTTCTCCAAGATAAACATAACAAAATTGGGCATCTATTAGAAAACCAATGATAAAATTGCCAACCTCACATCTTAAGACACCATCCAAAAAGAGATGCCCAAACTAACACATCTTATTAGAATCATAGAATTCAATAATTTATAGCAATGAGCACGGTCTGAAGAAGTACATACAGACTCCCAAAGATCTAACAAACACAATACCAGACCCTAACTTACTACCTTGATGTAGAACACAAAACATCATAGGATCAAAGAGGCAAAAAGCTGCAATCTTTCATTGAAGAAATTTCTGAAGAGATCTCTTCAGTTCAGTCCTCACATACAAAAAAATTTCATTTAGGTAAACGTTGTAATGAAACATGAAATTCTAATGATTAGACAATACAGTGAATAATAAATCACTTCATTCCATAAGGGCCATAATCATAAATAATTGGCAATAGTAAAGAAATAAAACTGGGTTAAATAGAGTGGTTTTTGGCTTACCAAGATTGGCCATCGCGATGGAATGCTTCAGATTTCGAGCCCAGTTTCATGAAAGCCATAAACTGATACTTGTGTTCCTCAATCTTGAAGAACATGCATGAAGAATTAACAGCAATGAAGACAAATTGAAAACAAAAAGAAATTTGGATCAATAAAAATGGAAAGGTATGAAATTTTGTGTGCCCGAGTCAGTAGGAGAAGTGAAGAAGAGAAAATACCGGATACAGAGAGAGCGTAGCAGTTATCCAACTGGCTTCGCTCTCCTTCAATTGCTCCCCTCGTTAACTTCACTCCATGCAGAAGAGAAAAGATCACAATCAAAATGAAAATAGGAACATGTGACTTGCCCCACTTATTGTTTTGAACATCTATATCTTCAATTTTTTCCATCAAATTCTTATTACAGGACTTCTATTAATTTGAACATCTTATCTCTTGTAATGTTTTTCGTCCATAATATTTGTTAGAATATCGTAAAATAACTTATTTGTCTATCATGTATTTAAATAACTGAAATAAGAAACAATTATAAAAAATTGACAAAATATCTACTATTCAATGTATATTGGCAGAATATTTAGACAGAAATTGTCAGTAAAGACCAGATGTATTATTAATTAAAGATTTAAGGATAAAAATGTGATTAAAAAAAGTTGAGGATATAAGTGTAAAAGTGAGCAAGTATTAGGTACCTTTTTTGAAATCAAAATTTGATGCAGATAACAAAAATTATATGTCAGTTATATTCGCACCACAATTTTTATTTATAGCATTACATGTAACTGCATTTTATTATAAAAAAAGGTTTGTCATGGCGATTTCAAATTTATTATAAAAAAATAAAAAATCGTGCTTGTTGTAGATATTGATTTGCATGGTCATGGATTTATAAGTTTCTTCCTGTCCATAATTTTAGATTCACTAATTATTATGACTTCGTAAGTTCTACTAAAATCTATTGCAAATTGTAAATAATCCGAATGTTTGATAGAAATATGAAATCATAATTTTCATTCTAAATCTTTCCTATATAATGTGAAATTCTATCTAACAAATGATTTTCAATGAAAAACACATTTTTTATTAGGCCATGTTTGATTGGCAAATCTTTTCCATGAAAAATGGAAATTGGATTTCATTTTCCCACTTTCAAGTGTTTGATATAAATTTTTTTTGCCGTGGAATTCAAGTTCCATGTTTTCTTGGACTTTGGACTTTTCTAGCTTTTTAGAATTGATTTTCTCAGTTACTGTAGCATATATGTTTTTTTTTCCCCTTTTTTTTTGGTTAGCAAAGTTAACAAATTCTAATAATGATTGTGAAAAAAATATTTCCCTTTAATTGACAACTTTCATATAAAACAAAGTCAAACGAATACCAAAAGATAGATGATTTTTTTTGAATTTTGAATTTTTTATTTTTTTTATTTTTTTAGCAATGGAAACAAATTTCATCTCCAACACCAGTAAATTATATCACTTTAATTGACAATTTTCATGTAAAAAAAAGTCAAACGAACATTAAAAAAAACACTTTTATTTCAACATTTTCCACGTGGAAATTTATACCAATCAAACACAATAATTTACAATTCCCAAAAAAATAATTTCTAAGCAATTCAATTCTTTGGAATTCGTTTTCAATTCAATTCAATTCCATCTTTGCAATCAAACAGACCCTTATAGTGAAAAAAGACCTTTTCATAATTTGATTTTAATTAATTTAATTATATTAAACGTAGATGTAAGGAAAAATATATTAATTACAAACTTATTGAGATTAAGTTTTTTTTTTGTTTTTTAATTCTTGAATTTGAGTACATATTTTATTTCTAAAATTTATTTTTGTGAATAATAAATATAAAAAACAATCGTTATATTGATCAGGAAAATGCTTCAAAATTAAGCCCTTGTTTGAGCCCCATTTTGGGGTGGGGGCGGGGGGGAGGATTAATTTTTGAATAGTGTATTGATAAAAAATGTGTTGTTAAAAAATAAGGAAAAGTTTTAAATTTGTGCGTAATATTATATTATTGAAGAATATGTGGTTGAAATGATGTTAAAACACTGTTGAAAAATGCATTTTTTTCAAAAGAATGAGATTCAAACAAATGCTAAATAAGCTATTCATGGGAAATAATTATTTAGTAACACATCTACCTAAGTCAAATTATCTAAGAGTCTATCTCTTGTTTATCTCATCGACGTAAATTTCGAATTTTTTTTTAGTTGAATTGTCTAGTTCAGTTTGATTTTCAGAATATTGATAGTAATACACCTACATAGGTCAGATTATCTAGGAACGATGTTTCTTCTTGATACAAATTTCATTATTTGAAGTTTAATCTGTATAAACTTTCATTTCTACTTGTGAAGTTTGCACATATATATCCTACCTTCTCTAATAAGAGCCGCTTTGGAATTTATTATTCATTCTTGTAACTCTCATTTTCACACTTGGTTGAGTTAATTGTTTCTAAACTGATTTTGACTTTTGAATACAAAATATTTTTTTCATATTCCCTCCTTATTTTATTAGTAGTAATATATTTTTAAATAATATTTTATCACACTGTAATTTTTTTTTTTAATTAGTCTCCAGAAACGACGACGTTTTCTATTTTACCTGCAATTTACATATTTTGAATCTGACGCTATCAACTATTGAGCATTTCCAATAATTTCATTAGTAATAATATTTTTTTAAATAATTTTTTATATAAAAGTTATTCTTTATTTCTAAAATGTAAAAATTTACTTATAAGTAAAAAATTACTTTAATTTATTTAAAAGTAATAAAAAATCTTATAATTGTAAAAGCTACTTATAGATAAAAAAAATATTAATTTCAACATTTTTAAGTAAATATTTAGAGTTTAAATTAAATATTAATAAAAAGATTACACTATCTAGAATGTAAAAAGTTACTTATAAGTAAAAAAAGCACTTCAAGTTATTTAAAAGTAATAAAAAACTTATAATTATAAAAGCTACTTATAGGTAAAAAAATATTAATCACTCATTCTCTTATAATTGCAAAAACTACTTATTGTTGGAATATTGTGGTGTTAATGTAACAGGATTATCGCATACCGTATATGTAGTTTAGATACCAATTTTAAGGATACCGTATATGCAATATATCATATATGCAGCTTACCGTATTTGCAAGTAGCTTACCGTATTTACAGCCTACAGAATTTGCAAGCAACTTACCGTATTTGTGTCTATAACATAGTTCTCAAAATGAGTTTCGAGAGAATATAAAAGATTTATGCATTCGACTACTATACAATCGTCGATGAATTTATAAAGTTAGTTTGTTATCCAAATTTTTAATTTTTTAAATGATGTCTCTTTTGACATTAAAAAATTTAAAAGTTTATTAGGAATTTAAAAAATTATTGCCGTGAAAAAATAATAAATATCAATAAAATAATTGATTTTTTTTAAGAAAAAAGACGAGTTATATGCATTTTTTAACACACACGTTTAATGTACGTTTAACTATTTTTGATATTCATTTAGATCATTCGATATATTTATGATATAGTTCTCGAAATGAGTTTCGAGAGAATATAGAAGATTTATGATAGATTTTTATAAAAAAAAATTAAATAAATCACGTAATGGAAAAAAAAATTTGACACAAAAAAAAAAAAACCAATAGAAATGCTCTGTGATGCGCGGAGCAATTTTGCTCATGGCTCCTGGATGCCAGGAGCATTTTTGTTCCGTGCATCACGGAGTTGCTCTGTCGGCGGCTCTTTTTTTTTTTTTTTTTAAAAATGATTTTTAATTTCAAATTTTTTTTTTTTGGGGGTTTGTTTTTTTTTTTTTTCAATTTTTTTTC